AGATGGTGCCAACGCCTGGGTCAGTGTGGGAGGTGCCCCGGCCCCCGCACAGCGAGGGGTGTGGGGGGGCGCTCACAGCAAACCTCAGGGGACCAACGCAGCTCGGCTAGAAGCTGAGCGGTGTGGGAGTGGCGGGCGGAGACGCAGGGCGGTCAGCCCCATGCGGGCATCACTCCCTTCCCTGAGGCATGCCCGTTTCTCTTCCACTTTGGCTGTGTTGAGTCCCCTGCCTCCCCTCCCCTTTTTCCTCTGGCAAGGGTCCCTGCTAAGCCAGCTGCCCCAGATCTGCCCCTGGGCACCGGCCACGTCCACTGCCCTGGGCCACAGGGTCGTTTGGGAGCCATCCGGCTGGCGTACCTGGCAGCTTCAGCTTGGAGCGAGGCTCAGGTCCCCTGGACCGGCTCACCCTGGAGTGGGATGCGGATGGGTCTCTGAGTGGGGCCGGGAGGGGGGTGCTTCCATCTTCCTGATTGTCTCGAAGGGTCCCCCATCCCTCAGCTCTCCTCCTCGGGAAAGGCTGCACGCAGCTGCAACAGGATTGAATCTCCTCTGCCAGAGTCCTGACCCAGCTGGGTTTTCTCCAGAAGCCCACCCTCATACTGTGTCAGCACACTCAGAACATGGAGAAGGAGACGGCACCCTACTTCAGTACTCTTGCCTGGAGAATTCCGTGGACAGAGGAGCCTGGTGGGCTGCTACCCATGGGGTCACACAGAATCGGACATGACTGAAGCGACTTAGCCTTCATGCATGCATGCATTGGAGAAGGAAATGGCAACCCACTCCCGTGTTCTTGCCTGGAGAAACCCAGGGACGGGGAAGCCTGGTGGGCTGCCGTCCATGGGGTTGCACAGAGTCGGACACGACTGAAGAGCCTTAGTAGCAGCAGCGGCAGCACACTCAGAACAAGGGGAGATGTGTTCAGTTACATGGCAGGAGAAGTGGCCGGGGTTCCCAGGTGGCTCTGTGGTAAAGAATCCACCTGCCAATGCAGGAGACACGGGTTTGATCCCTGACCCAGGAAGATCCCACGTGCCTCGGAGCAGCTAAGCTCTTGTGCCCCAACTCCTGAGCCTGTCCTCCAGAGCCCAGGAACTGCAACTACTGAGCTCCTGGGTTATGATTCCTGAAGCCTGTGGGTCCGAGAGCCCGTGCTCTGCACCAAGAGGAGCCGCTGCCGCGAGGGGCCCTTGCGCTGCAGTGAAAGCCCCCGCTTGCTGCTAGAGAAGAGTCTGCACAGCAGTGAAGGCCCAGCACGGCCGAAAGTCAATACAAATAAATACAGGATTTTCTAAAAAAGAGATCTGTTTCGGATGTGTGAAACAAAAATATGATGGAATTTTCTATACTACTATGATCACACGGAAATAAACTATGCCTACCCTGATAGCTCAGTTGATAAAGAATCTCCCTGTAGTGCAGGAGACCTGGGTTCGATCCCTGGGTTGGGAAGGTTCCCCTGGAGAAGGGAAAGGCTACCCACTCCACCCATTCTGGCCTGGAGAATTCCATGGACTGTATAGTCCATGGGGTCACAAAGAGTTGGACACGACTGAGCGACTTTCACTTGCAAACTACGCCTGCATGTGAGCAAAGACTGAAAAAGAACACGATATGTGAAAATGAGGGAGGGGACTTCGTGGAGTTAAAGCTTTTTCTTGAAAGTATTTTTAACATATGAAAATAAGGATTAAAAGGATTGCTCAAAAGAAACTACTTTGAGTTACAGAAGTGGAACAGAGAGTCCCAGCTACCCCTTGGAAAAAGGAGACCTAGTGATGATGTTACTGATTCAGTTAGTATTGACAAAGTCCTTCGACATGTCAGATCTTTGAAAACAAAGATCTTCACCTCACAAGCTAGGCAAGAATAAACCTATAGAAACAACAACCAATTGGATGCAATTGCATAAAGTGCATTAATACAGATACACTTGGACCAGTTTTCCCTTTAAAGAGTTGAGGGCTTCCTGGAGGAGGTGGTCAGTAAGTCTTAGAGGCTGAGAGAGCGAAGTCAGCTGGTGAACAGTGGAAGAAGGGTGATCTTTGGAGAGGTATGGAAAAAGGCAAGACATGAGATTGGAGGGAGAGATAGGGCCAGATCATAAAGGGCGTTGCATGTAATCCAAAGGAGTTTAAGTTTTATACAGTAAGTCCCCTACGTACAAACTAGTTTCATTCCAAGAGTGTGTTAGTAAGTCCAAGAAAGTTAGCCTAGGTACCCAGCTAACACAGTCGGCTGTATAGTACTGTACTGTAATAGGTTTATAATACTTTTCACCCAAACAATACATAAAAAAACAAACAAACAAATAGAGAAAGCATTTCTAATCTTATAGTACAGACCTTGAAAAGTACAGTAGTACCAGCTACACTGCTGCTGCTTTTATGCTTTCTTCCAAACATCCTGGGCTTGAAATAAAGATACTGTACTAATGTACTCTATGCAGTGTGTGTGTGTGTGAGTGTGTGTGTGTGTGCACGCTCAGTCATTCAGTTGTGTCCAACTCTTTGCAACCCCAAGAACTATAGCCCGCCAGGTTTCTCTGTCCATGGAATTCTCCAGGCAAGAATTCTGGAGCGGGTTGCCATTTCCTACTCCAGGGGATCTTCCTGACCGGGGACTGAACCCAAGTCTCTTGAAACTCCTGCCTTGGTAGGTGGATTCTTTACCACTGCACTGTACAGTGAAGGACGCAAAAGAGCAAACACTTAGAGGATGCGTGCATGTGACAGTGTATGCCAGACATGTGAAGTAACATGTGATTGGATGTGCAAAGGCATGTTTGCATCTTTGAAAGTTTGCAGCTTGAAGGTTCATATGTAGGGGACTTACTGTACTGAAAAAAAATCTGAAGCAGGTTTTTGTTTTGTTTTTTTTTTGTTTTTTTTTTTTTTGCAGACAACCAGGAGAGAAGTCCTGAGCAGCACCAGTGGAGAGGGCTCTTGGTAAATGTCTTTGAGAAGAGGATTCACAGAATGGTGTGGGCATGGTGTGGGGAGAAAGACTGCAAGAGGAATTGGAAAGAATCAGGTAACTCTGACGTCACCTTTCACCACAACAGGGAACCAGAAACTTGCAGAAAGGACTGCAGAACACTGGCTAGGTTGGGGTCAAAAGTTTTTGGAAGTGTTCAATTGCAGAAGCCTTTAGGATGGCTAGCTTCCCTGAGGTGTCTCAGTGTTAAAGAATCTGCCTGCCAATGCAGGAGACATCAGAGACATGCATTCAATCCATGGGTCAGAAAGATACCCCTGGAGAAGAAATGGCAACTCACTCTAGTATTTTTGCCTGGAGAATCTCATGGAGCCTGGTGGGCTGCAGTCCATGGGATCGAAAAGAGTCGGACACGGCTGAGCGACTAAGCACTTGGCACTTTAGTATGTTTTCCTGGAGATATTCATCAGCTAATTAGGTAAATGGGTCTGAGGTTTAGAAGACAGAGGCCAACCAAAAATATGGATCTGAAAGTCATCTGTATTTTAGTGAATGAGATGTGTGCTAAGTTATTTCAGTTGTGTCTGACTCTTTGTGACTCTGTGGACTGTAGCCCACTGGGCTCCTCTGTCCATGGGATTCTCCAGGCAAGAATACTGGAGCGAGTTGCCGTGCCCTCCTCCAGGGGATCTTCCCAACCCAGGGATCGAACCCTGTCTCTTATGTCTGCTGAACAGGCAGGCAGGTTCTTTACCATTAGCGCCACCTGGGAAGTCCAAATGAATTTGGGTAGGACAGAGAAAAGAATGACAGTATTTTTGGAGGTTCTAGCTATTTTAAGTGCTTCACATACACTGTCTCATTTAAACATCACAATCACTCCATGAATTTGATGTAGGAGGAAGCTGAGGCTCCAAAAAGTTAAATGAAGAATTAGGAGTCTGTTGTAAGTAACTCAAAGGAAAACTTAAAAACATACAGGGGATGCTCATGCACCCAAGGACAGAGATGAGAGAGGGGAGAACCACATTCTCTTATTTTTATTTGCAAAGCTCCCTTTGGCAAAGGTAGCTGGGTGAGGAACAAGCAGATTGGAAAGTGGCGAAGCAGAAACAAGGGGACCTGTGGAGCCCATTTTCCTTTCTGTCGCCTCTTACAAATCAGTCGTGGAGCTAAGTTTTATTCAACTAGACTTGGCTTTGGCCTGAAACCAAGATAAAATGAGTGATCATGGGGAACAGATGTCACCTGCTCTTTTGCCAACTTTCCTCTGATAGTTGCCAAATTCCGAGATTAATTTTCTTTGGGTAAAACTCAGCACAAACTCAAGTGTACGGCGTATAGATGGGCTTTTAATAACGACCCTGAGAACAATGAACGTGAGTTCAAGTAGAAATTCTCTTTTTAACATTTTGATGCCAATAGATTTTCTTTCAGACTTGCTTTTCATCTGAGAGCCGGAGGAATACGGCGGAAAGAATCCCGAGGTGGGGAATCATTAAAAACTGCGGCTTTGTTTCAGTTCCATTTCCTGTTTGGGGGGGGGACCCAAGGCAAGCAGACTCAAGCCCTCCTGGTCTCTGAAGTGTCTTCTGTAAAGTGAGAGATTTGGACTCAGACGAGTACTTCTCAAGCTTTCATGTGCACGTGCGTTCCCTGGGGATGTTGTGAAAACTCAGTTTCTGATTTACTAGGTCTGGGGTGGGGCCCCAGACTCTGCATTGCTAATAAGCTCCCATCCTTGTGGTCCAGGATCAGACCATACTTTAATTAGATCACCCTCCAAGGTGCCCCTGGACTTCCCTGGTGGCTCAGAGGGTAAAGAATCTGCCTGCCATGCAGGAGACCCAGGTTCGATCCCTGGGTTGGGAAGATCCCCTAGAGAAGGGTATGGCAACCCACTCCAGTATTCTTGCCTGGAGAATCCCATGGACAGAGGAGCCTGGCAGGCTGCAGTCCATGGGGTCACAAGGAGTTGGATGGACATGACTGAGCGACTAACACACACCAAGGTGTCACTAGGCTGTAACTTGCCAAATAAAGAAAAGTATTATTGAAGGACTTCCCTGGTGGCCCAGCGGCTAAGACTCTGCACTTCCAATGCAGGGGCCCAGGTTCAATCCCTGGCTGGGGAACTAGATCCCACATGCAGCAACTGACTGTGAATGCTACAGATAAAAGACTTAAGCCAAATAATTAAATAAGTAAAAATAAATATTAAAAAAAGAAAAGCATTATGTCACCAGTTGAGAACAATATTTGTTTTAAAAAAATGCTTCAGTTCTCTGTTTATAAAGGTAACCCATACTTATCAAAATTAAAAAAACATCACACAGTATGGGGACCTCCCTGGTGGTTCAGTAATTTAAGAATCCGCTTGGCTATGCAGCACACGTGGGCTCGATTCCTGGCCAGAGAACTAAGATTCCACATTCCTTGGAGCAACGAAGCCCAAGCGTGGGAACTGTAGCGTTCACAGGCCACAATGAGAGATCCTGCGGGACGCAATGATGATCAGGAAGCAGACAAAAAAATTAATGAATTAAAAAAAAATCGCACAACACGTGCAGTACAAGGGCTGAAAACCACCCAGAGTGAAACACTGAAGTGGTATGCTTTCTTCCTACTCAGCTGCAGAGAATGGGCGGGCTAAACCTCGGTATTCCTTCCCTGGTGGCTTAGACAATAGAAAATCTGCCTGCAATGCAGAAAAACCAGGTTCAATCCCTGGTCGGGAAGATCCTGAGAAGCAAATGGCAACCCACTCCAGTGTTCTTGCCTGGAGAGTCCAGCGACAGAGGAGCCTGGCGGGCTACAGTCCATGGGGTTGCAAAGAGCCGGACACAAACTGCGTGACTAACACTTCCTTCCTTTAACATCAGATTGTGAAGCTGGGATCTTTTTCCATTTGCTGCCCGTGAGTTGAGAATTAACTGATTTGAATTCAGCTCCTCCTGTTGTGGTAGATTTGCTCCTGCATCATATGATTTCCAGTTGCTCAGAGCCTGGATACAGGAGGAGGGAATGAGTGCCTTCCCAGAGTCATCTCTGCCAGGCTGAACGGACCCAGAGCGATGCAAAGAGAAAGGAGCTAAGTGAGTGCTGACACCAGTTTGTAAGAGATTTCAAGAAAAATTCTGTTAAGATACAGTGAGAGCTGGTCAATGGACCTCAATATCTGAGGAATGACTTAGGTTGTAATCATTATTGATCAGGAAGGAATTTTGCATAATTCTCTGTGCTTTCCTCATGCCTGCGTGCTAAGTCACTTCAGTTGTGTCCGACTCTTTGCGACCATAGGGACTGTAGCCCGCCAGGCTCCTCTCTTTGTCCAAGGGGATTCTCCAGGCGAGAATACTGCAGTGAGTTGCCATCCCCTCCTCCAGGGATCTTCCTGACCTAGCAATTGAACCCATGTCTCTTATGTTTCCTGCATTGGCAGGCAGGTTCTTTATTTACCACTAACACCACCAGTGATAGGTAAAGTTAGAGTTATTTGAACGCACTTAAAACAATTGTAATAATAGCAACATAGCCGAAAGAGATTGCTGGTTGGTTGTGACATATTTGTAAGACTCAATTAGAAATGCTTGAAATATACAAAAATAAATGTAAGATTAAAGACCCCAATATCAAATTGAATTTATTATTTACATCTTTTGTTGCATCAAAGCAGTAGCAATTCCTAATACAGCATACAGTAAGGTCATTATAATCACAAGTCTGTAATACATTTGTATTTTATAACTGTGGAAATTTCCAAACTGTGTATACAATTTATATGGATATAGCTACTATATTCATGTTTATAACATAAGCCAAATGAAAAGAAAGCAAAAATATTGTGAATGTGTTGACAGAAAAGGCTGTTTGAAATAATGTCATTGATAAACATCTAGCATGACAGCTAAATATATAGTAGGCAACATGACACATGATATTCATCATTCGAAGTACCAGAAGTTAGGTTGAAAGAAACTTTTCTAAAACACATAGTATTCAACCTTAAACAGAGGGTTCTGAAGATACTTCTCTCTGGGATTAAACATGCTATAATCATCAATGATTATTCTTTGCTTCTGTCCTAAATTGTTCTAGAACACTAAGACTTTAGAAACCTTGAGGCTTCTGTTTTCTAATCATGATCATTTTTAATATCAAAGTTGTACTCGTATAAAAATTTCAAAATGCAATAAAATACAAAAAGCAAATAAAAATGACCCTCAATCTCACAGTTGAGAAAAAAATCATTAGCAGTTCAGAGACCTTTTGCACAATATGTGTTTCCTAGGACACCAGTCATTGGATTTAGGTCTCATCCTAGTCCAGCACAACACATCTTAGCTAATTACATCCGAAATGACTGTTTCCAAATAAGGTCACATTCTGAGGTTTTGTGTGGATGTAAATTTTAGGGGGGAGAGGGAATGCTATTCAATTCACTATATACCTAAGATAATGTATTTGCTTGTTATTTAAGTCACACAGTCATGTCTGACTCTTTGAGACCCTATGGACTATATAGTCCGCCAGGCTCCTCTGTCCACTGAATTCTCCAGGCTAGAATCCAGGAGTGGCTTGCCCTTTCCTTCTGCAGGGGATCTTCCCAACACTGGGATCGAACCCAGATCTCCTGGGTTGTAGGCAGGCGCTTTACCGTCTGAGGCACTAGGAAAGTCGTTGTCACATAGTATCTTAACTATTTACAGTCCTTTCTTTCCTAAGACTGAGCCCCTTGGGGAAATGCCCATGTTTTGCCTTTGTTTCTGTATCTTCAGCAACTAGCATAGATACTCAAAAAATATTTGTTGAACTGAATTGTTAAATCGTGATCTGGAAGTTTTCACAGTTCTTTGTTCAGATAGCAATAGCTAAATCAGGATGTCTAAAATAAGGAGAGTCTCTAAATGGGACCCTGAGTAAAGCTTATAGGATTTAATTCTAGAAGGTTGCATTTCCACTTTACATGTTTAGACGTAGTCTTTTTGCTCCCGTATTTTCCAGCTATATCTACTGAGACTGTTGTGAGTAACATCATCTAAATAGGCAGTGTGAAAGTAGCAAAAATAAGCATAATAATAATGATAATCTTAATGGAATAAAGACATAAAAGTATTATGATCAGAATAAGACTTGCAGCTGTCAAAAACTTTAATTTCAAATGGTTTCTGTTGAAATCACTGGCTGTACTGGAAGTTGTGTGTGTGTGTGTGTGTACACGCATGCAAGCACACTCAGTTGTTTCTGATTCTTTGTGACCCCATGGACTGTACCTCACCAGTCTCCTCTGTCCATGGATTCTCCAGGCAAGAATACTGGAGTGGGTTGCCATTTCCTATTTCAAGGGATCTTCCCCACCCAGGGATCGAACCTATGTCTTTTGCCTCTCCTAACATTAGCAGGCAGGTTCTTTACCAGCTGAGCCACTTAATATAGCACCAGATTTATGTAATTTGTAGATTTTGAAATATATCCCTATTCAGAATTCGAATATGGAAAACCATCAGTCTAATTCTACGTGAGAAGGGCTTTGAAAATAATGATAATCTTAATGGAATAAAGACATAAAAGTATTATGATCAGAATAAGACTTGCAGCTGTCAAAAACTTTAATTTCAAATGGTTTCTGTTGAAATCACTGGCTGTACTGGAAGTTGTGTGTGTGTGTGTGTGTGTGTGTGTACGCATGCAAGCACACTCAGTTGTTTCTGACTCTTTGTGACCCCATGGACTGTACCTCACCAGTCTCCTCTGTTCATGGATTCTCCAGGCAAGAATACTGGAGTGGGTTGCCATTTCCTATTTCAAGGGGTCTTCCCCAACCAGGGATCGAATCTATGTCTTTTGCCTCTCCTAACATTAGCAGGCAGGTTCTTTACTAGCTGAGCCACTTAATATAGCACGAGATTTATGTAATTTGTAGATTTTGAAATATATCCCTATTCAGAATTCGAATATGGAAAACCATCAGTCTAATTCTACGTGAGAAGGGCTTTGAAAAACTGGAAACAAATGGATTTTAAAACATAATTTGAAAAGTCATGAGAACTCTTTAAAATCGCATTGGTTGCAAGAACTTCGTGCAAACATCTTTTATAAACATGTCTACATGGTCAAGTTTATTTTCACATAAATATTAAAAGAAACCATTGACACAAATGTGTTTCCTGTTCTGGTCCTTGTTTACGCCTCAGATGGCCTTCATCCCTCTCATTCTTCCTCTTCATCCCCATTCATCTCTTTCCCTCTTTCAATCACAGACTATCAAAATACCGCACACCCTATAGGACCCAGTCCAAACCATGGTTTGCTGAATTATGAATGCTTTTTTTTTTCCCTCAGCATAACCAAAAAGAGCTCTTTCCCTTTCTGTTTTCTCATGGCACGCTGTTTTTAGCACTTTGGTAGCTCTTAGTAATTCTGCAATATGGCCTAGTTATTTGTGAACATTTTATTTTTTCCCCCTGTGGATTGTAAACATCTAAAGAACGGGGGTGAACATAGGAATCATACTTTAATACCCAACTATTATCTGTGTCAGTGGTTCTAATAGAGAGCATTTGAAGGGCACACACCTTAACTCTTTGGAGGCTGAAAGAGTTTTTTAGGCTTGTTGGAGACCTCGCATTTCCGGGGATCCAACAGCCCCGCCCTCTTTCAAAGTTATGAGGGCGCTATTTTATTGTTGAGGTCTGCCCAGACCCTAAGGCTGGGTGCGAACGCCACGTGCCGGTGTGCGGGCGCGCGCAGGCAATCAACCCTGGCGGCTGCTTTGCGGGGAGGAAATTCATCGGCCTCCAAGCCTCTTTTCCCCAGTTCTTCACATCTCAGGTCGCTGGAGTTTTCAGTATCATTTGGTCGAAGGTGCTTCGGGGCTCCTCCGAGTGGAATGTAATGTCCTTCCCGCGCCGCGTACCAGTGAGAGGTGAGGGGGCATGGCAGAGTGCGCGTCTTTTACCAAACACAAGGGGAGGCAGTTTCCAGGTCTCAGCCCAGCCGGGGCCGGCTGGGTGTGAGCTGAGGTTGGGGGAGCCATGTCGGCGCAAGGATGCAACAGGATTTGGGAGGCGCGGGCAAGAAAAAGGCCACCTAGCGGGCTTTGTCTCCGATTCCGGCAGGTTCTCCGGCCAGAGGTTGCAAACGTGAAGCCTGCCGAAGCACTTCCCTACATTAATTGCAAGGGGAGGGGGCGGGACTCCTGTTACCGCAGCCCGTCTCTCCCTCCCCGTAACTGCTAAATTGTAGCTTTAAAAGGAAGTGACATGGGGTGGGGAGAGACGTCAGCTGAGGACCACTTTTTTTTTTTCTTTCCCGAAGGGTCCACCCCATGGGTGGAGTCTCGCTTTTTTCTTTCCAGTGTTGGCTGTCTTACAGCGCCTATAAACTAGTGGCAATTTCTGCACCCCAGCCTGCTCCCTTGCAGTTTCTGATCTCTAAGTCCGTGTGTCCAGGGCTGCCAGAAAGGAGGTATCTGCGGTTCGTGCTGTTTGCAGGCGGCTTCACCTCTGGGCGTGGCGGATGTGTGCGCCCCTCTGCCTCTCCCTCGTTATTTCTCTCCTTGGCTGGATTTCCCTAAAACCTCTGGAAGGGGTAGGTAAGCGAGAGGAGGCGAGGAAGCCGGAGAAGGAAGTGAGGCGACCGCGGGAACGTGGAGGGGCTTTGCCGCCGCACAAGGACCATCTCTTTGTGCTCAGCCGGGGGGAGCGTGTCTGTGATACCCATCGCTTTATTTGTGTTTGCTCGGCGTCCGCGGCTCTCCGCGCGCGGGCTCTCGCCCGGGGCTGCTCAGAGGCAGCCTGGCTTGTGGCTACCCCTCCTCACCCCCCGTTTTGGTTTTTCCCTATTACAGGCGGGCTGGGGGAGGGGAGTTGTCAAGGAAACAGGCTTTTATACTTACGTCTTTATTTACTTAATTTTCAGCCTATGAAATTTTTCCCCTCATATCTGGAAATTAGGAAAACAGTGATTTGATGTTTATGTAAGTCTTCCGTTTCTGGTCTTTCTGGAAAACCTAAACTGTTCTCAAGACGTGATGTTAAATCCCTGATCTAACTAAAGAGGTTGGGGGTGGGTGGGTGGCACTTACTTCTTTAGAGGAGATGAGATCCTGGAGAAAAGTTTTAGAGGGTGTTTGAGAATCCACTGACAGATACGTTATTTTCTGCCCAGGTTTGCTTAAGAGTCTAAATGTTTAAAAGAGGGGTCTTTGTTCTAGTCTGAACTTACTTAGCACACAATCTAAGTTCAACAGGTAAAGTAACAATCAGTAACTACCAGCAGGATTCTCAGTTTTTCTGGTATTGGTCTAATAGGTATCAGGGGCTGTCCCCTCCCTTTAAGGTGAGGGTCCTCTTTTTCAAAACTGGGAAAGAATGAACTCATCTGTGATTGTTAGTTAAGCATCCTCAGTTGGAAAAAAAAAAGTATCTATCATGAGATAAGGGAGGAAGTGTCTGTGGTGTGCATGTGATGTGTGTGATTGTGTGTGTGTGGGTAGTAGGGCAGGGACGTCAGGGGCAAGTCAAGCCCTAAGTTAAGACTACTAAATCTGCTTAATATCCTCTATGGAGGGAAAAAGAGTTGATTTTCAAGAAAAATACAAAACAGAGAGAAAAAAGTATCATCTACCTAGTAACAGGCAAAGTTAAATATAATTAAAATCAAGTGACCCATCTTTGAACAGACAGAGTCCAAACTGGCTTGTTAACAGGTAGGAGGCAAATTTTCGTTCTGGGCATCTGAGATGTTTTATAACGGACACCATTCTTTTAAGGGGTATCCTGAATTACCAAATTAGGATTTATAGAATGGATCAACAGTAATATCACCCTTGAGTCTTAAAAGTATCTGTAGTTTTGGATAAAGATTTGTGAAAGTGGCTTAGCCCTCACGATGCCTTCCCGCTAGAAACCCAAAAGCATCACTTGGAAACCTCCCAGTACCCCCTCCCCTCCCAGGGGAAGCAGGAGGAAGAGGTGGTTTAATGAGGTTCTGCTTGCCAAGATCCTTTTCACGACATGCTCTTTTCTATGACCTATAAAACATAGGGCAAGAGGTCTTAAGTGTTACAGATACAAAAGTTATCTGAAAAATAGGATGACACAAAACTAGCAGAACTAAATAAAGAGCTGGTTTAAAGGCATAAAGCACCCAAAAGTGTCGACAAAAAATAAGATGATCATTTTGAAAAATCCAAGTAAATATATATAAATAGTTGGAGTGTAGGTTTGCAAAGAGTGTGGGAAGCAGTCAGGCTAGGTTACTGTTTACCAGCCTGAAGATGGTCCTCATGGATCGCGGATGTAGATTGACCACATCAGAGGGACCACATGAGCCTGCAGAATAGATGGACAGTGTGTAAGTCAGGTGTGATGTGGGCGCTCCTGAGCATCCAAATGTAGGAGTTTCATAGCAAAAAGCCTTGTAAGATGGGGTTCAAAGGAAAAGTAGCAAGAATTGTTTGTAATTTCAGCCAAAAAAAAAAGAGAGAGAGAAAGAAATCACTGTCCTGTAGTTGGACTAAGTAGAAGTTAAAAACTTGATTAACACTCTTGACCTGGGTAGGGTCAATGAAGGATCAGTGGGTCCATGGAGCAAACACTCTTGACCTGGGGAGGGTCAATGGAGCTATCGATGCAAAGCAAATTCTGGGTCGCCTGAAAGGCTGGATGGAGGCGATGAACTGGTGAAGCTGGAGTTATTCATTCACCACTGTTGGGATTGCATGGTCCACAAACCACCACTTCTAAGTTTGTGAAGGAAATAGAAGTGGTGGTCTGTGGTCTCAAGTTTAAAATTTGCCAAACCGGTGACAACCTGCGTATGTGGGCATACAGCTGGAGAGGAGGAGGCGGGGCAAGTGAGAGGTGAGATGCAATAAGTCTGGGAAGAATGTTATGAGGATGTTGACATTGAAGGTTTGAAGGAGAGGAGACAGATGATTCTAGCGGAAGAGGCAAAGGTGTCCCAGGTAACAAGTATGGATGGTGGGCAATAGGGTTCCTCAGTCAAGGTTCTTGTCCGAAGCAAGGAGAAGTCCATCTTTAGTCTGGAAATGGGCTGTGTGGAGAGAACTGGTATTAATTCAGGGACAGGATTTTGTTTAACTCAGAACAAGACTGGTACAAGAAGTGAAAAAGTGTTAGTCACTCAGTTGTGTCCAACTCTTTGCAACACTATGGACTATAACCTGCCAGACTCTTCTGTCCATGGAATTCTCCAGGCAAGAATCCTGGAGTGGGTAGCCATTCCCTTCTCCAGGGGATCTTCTTGGCCAAGAGATTGAACCTGGGTCTTTTGCATTGCAGGCGGATTCTCTACCATCTGAGTCCCTGTAGGTAGAATGAAGAATCCTTCCTAATCCAGTTATTTTTGAGTTGAAACTCCAAGAAGTGAAGGTTAGGCTTAAATCAGACTTCAAAGAAGTAAGAAATTCGGGAAAGTGAGCCCCCACACACCCACAACGTTGTTCTAATAATGCTAACCGTTGCTGGTGCTTTCAATTGTGGGGTGCTCAAATGAGCATTGGGCAGACTTACTATATTTTGTTCAGTCTGCTGTATTCTAAAAAAAAGGTCTCATGGGCTTGGGAAAACATAGTTCTGAATGGTTTTGGACACCTCAATGTTCAAATGTAGTCAAGCCTGGCCTAAAACCCATCTACATCCCATAGAGTTTGAGCAACTCTGACCCAAGAATCTTCGTCCCAGGGCAGAATCCGTTTGTGAAGCTTTGTAACTTGGACATTTGGCTTCATGTAGGAACCAAGGAGGATCACTGCTAAGCTGGTGGGAAAGAGGAAGCTTAAATCATGAACTTGCTGTTTTCACAGTATTTATGTGCATTTATCATGTGTAAATAGCTTGTTGTTCAGACACTGTATCAGACTCTTTGCAACTCCGAGGACTGCAGCACGCCACGCTTGCCTGTCTTTCACTGTTTCCCAGAGTTTGCTCAAACTCATGTCCCTTGAGTCGGTGATGCCATCCAACCTTCTCATCCTCTGTCGTCCCCTTCTCCTCCCGCCCTCAACCTTTTCTAGCATCAGGGTCTTTTCTAATGAGTCGGCTCTTCGCATCAGGTGGCCAAAATTTTGGAGTTTCAGGTTCAACATCAGTCCTTCCGATGAACACCCAGGACTGATCTCCTTTAGGATGGACTGGTTGGATCTCCTTGCAGTCCCAGGGACTCTCAAGAGTCTTCTCCAACACCACAGTTCAAAAGCATCAATTCTTCGGCACTCAGCTTTATTTATAGTCCAACTCTCACATCCATACATGACTACTGGAAAAACCATAGCTTTGACTAGACGGACCTTTGTTGCAAAGTCATGTCTCTGCTTTTTAATATGCTGTCTAGGTTGGTCATAACTTTCCTTCTAAAGAGTAAGTGTCTTTTAACTTCGTGGTTGCCGTCACTGTCCACAGTGATTTTGGAGCCCAAGATGGTGACTGGCTGATCTCAGTTTTCTTTGAGTGCCTGAATACCTTAAAATAAGAGCAATTTTTGGTGAAAGGTATGATGGAGCAGTCTATCTAACCTGTTTTCCTTTATTTTTTAAGACTTTTCCACAAAGATTTTCTACTTGTGTTTGTTTTTGTTCCTCCAATCTCATTTGCTTTCCTTCTTCCTTTAACCTTTGGTTCTACCTTTAAGTCATCACTTATTCGTTCATATATCATCCATCCATTTATTCATTCACTCAAAAATGATATTGGTATCATGCGTCAGACGCTATATTTTATGGATGTGGCAATAAATAAGCAACTACTTCTTTCTTGAAGAAGCTCAGAAACTAGCAGGGGAAAAGATGGAGAAACAGTCCCTTAAACCAGGGAGTATTGGGTTTACTATTATTATTAAACCATAGTTGACTTACAATATAGTGTTAATTTCAGGTGTACAACTTCAGATTCTTTTCCATTACGGATTGTTGTAAATTGTTGAAAACAAATCCACAGGTTATACAGCAAATCCTTACTCTTTGTCTATTTTATGGAGAGTAAGTGTATATCTATGAATCTCATGTTCTTAGTTTATCCCTCCTCTTCCCCTTTCCCTTTTGGTAGCTATAAGTTTGTTTTCTATGCCTGCGAGTTTTGTTTCGGTTTTGCAAATAAATTTATTTATATTATTTATTTTTTAGATTCCAGATGTAAGTGATGTCATATAATATTTGTCTTTCTCCACCTGATTCACTTCCCTTGGTTTGATAATCTCTAGGTCTGTCATGTTGCTGCAAATGGCAACATTTCATTCTTTTGAATGGCTGAGTAATATTCCATTTTTCTTCCTTGATAGCTCAGTTGGTAAAGAATCTGCCTGCAATGCGGGAGACCTGGGTTCAGTCTCTGGGTTGGGAAGATCCCCTGGAGAAGGCAAAGGCTACCCACTCCAGTGCTCTGGCCTGGAGAATCCCGTGGGCTGTATAGACCATGGGGTCTCAGAGTTGGACAAGACTAAGCAATTCACAGATAGACATACACACATACATATAGGGACAGGGACTGGGAAAGATTGAAGGCAGGAGGAGAAGGGGACTACAGACGATGAGACGGTTGGATGGCATCACCAACTGGATGGACATGAGTTTGA